GGCTGTTAGGAATTGTGGGAGTTGCAGTCCAAAACACCTGGAGGAAGGCCCAAGTTTGCCCATTGCCTGGTCTAAGAAGAATGTCATACTTATGTGGACACACGCACAAATAACACTTTTCCTCCCTTCTCAATGAATCCTTTTCAGAAAGGTCTGGCGTCAGCCGGGAAGCTTTGGAAAACAAGGGGATCCTGGTGCTGGATGTACATACTTTCATTGCAGCGGCAGAAGAAATGGCGGCACCCTTTAGAAGCAGCAGCTATTGGTAAGGAAAAAAAAGGGGAAACTCCAAAGTCTGAGGAGATTTGCATATCTATGGCAACACTACTAGCTTGCAAACCATTCATAGAATCATGGAGTTGGAAGAGACCTCATGGGCCACCCAGTCCAACCCCATTCTGCCAAGAAGCAGGAAAATCGCATTCAAAGCACCCCCGACAGATGGCCATCCAACCTCTGCTTATAAGCCTCCAAAGAAGGAGCCTCCGCCACACTCTGGGGCAGAGAGTTCCACTGCTGAACAGCTCTCAGAGTCAGGAAGTTCTTTCTAATGTCCAGATGGAATCTCCTTTCTTGTAGTTTGTGTGTTATTGTTTATATGTGATTTATAGTAATTGTATTGTTTTTGTTTATTGCTTTCTTGTTTTATTGATGTGTTGTTGGGCTTGGCCTCATGTAAGCCGCTCCGAGTCCCTTGGGGAGATGTTGGGGGGATATAAATAAATTATTATTATTTATTTATTTATTTATTTATTTATGCATTTATTAACCGCCCTTCTCAGCCCTTGCGGGCGACTCACGGCGGTATTATTATTATTATTATTATTAAGTCATTGTTCAATTGCATCCTACTCTCCAGGGCAGCAGAAAACTCTTGGAATGTGAGGGATGTGATATATATATCTCATCCCTACTTTGCGGATTTTCACTTTTCACGGGTGGTCCTGGAACGTAACACCCACAATAAGTGAGGGAACACTGTACTAACATTCTCCAAAGCCATGACATGGGAGGATTCATTCAGCTAAATTGCACTGATGTTAAATTTCCTATGTTCATTTCTGAGCGCTTCTCAAATGAATGCATGCAAATTTAATGAAGTTGGACAAAGACACGATAACACTGTGGACTGAGAGCATGGATGCTGATGCCCTTCTGGATTCATTACGGCATCTCTGAGAACCCCAATTAGTTTAAGAATGCTCTACAACAATAATGTTAATAGAAAACTAGAGTTGGAAGAGACCTTGTGGGCCATCCAGTCCAACCCCATTCTGCCAAGAAGCAGGAAAATCACATTCAAAGCACCCCCGACAGATCCAACCTCTGCTTAAAAGCCTCCAAAGAAGGAGCCTCCGCCACACTCCTTGGCAGAGAGTTCCACTGCTGAACAGCTCTCAGAGTCAGGAAGTTCTTTCTAATGTCCAGACGGAATCTCCTTTCTTGTAGTTTGTGTTATTGTTTATATGTGATTTATAGTAACTGTATTGTTTTTGTTTATTGCTTTCTTGTTTTATTGACGTGTTGTTGGGCTTGGCCTCATGTAAGCCTCTCCGAGTCCCTTGGAGAGATGGTGGCAGGGTATAAATAAAGATTATTATTATTATTATTATTATTATTATTATTATTATTATTATTATTATTATGTCATTGTTCCATTGCATCCTACTCTCCAGGGCAGCAGAAAACAAGCTTGCTCCCTCCTCCCTATGACTTCCCCTCACATATTGATCCCTGGCCCTCATCATGTCTCCTCTCACTCTTCTCTTCTGCAGGCTAAACATGCCCAGCTCTTTAAGCCACCCCTCATGTTCTTCAGACCCTTCATCATTTTAGTTGCCCTCCTCTGAACACATTCCAGCTTGTCAACATCTCCCTTCAGTAGCGGTGCCCAGAATTGGACACAGCGTGACTCCATGTGTGGTCTGACCAAGGAAGAATAGAGCATGGGGAGCATGACTTCTCTGGATCCAGACACTAGACTCCTATTGATGCAGACTCCTATTGACGCAGACTTCCCTGGGTCCAGACACTAGACTCCCATTGGCTTTTTTTGCTGCTGCATGACATTGTTGGCTCATTGTATTGTCGAAGGCTTTCATGGCCGGAATCACTGGGTTGTTGTAGGTTTTTTCAAGCTATATGGCCATGTTCTAGAGGCATTCTCTCCTGACGTTTCGCCTGCATCTATGGCAATTGCTGGCTCATGTTTAAACAAATGCTGCTCCACTATAGTTACAAGAGGTGTCAAGATGAATGTTGCTGGAACGTGATAGTATTGAAGGTAGTGTTGCAAATGGGAGAGACCCAAGTTCAAATGTTCCACAGCAGAGCCTAAAAATACGATCCCTCCCTTGTTCATTTTGTGGCTGCTCCACTTGGTGAAAGGATGGGCCATGCCCTTCACGTCCTAGTTGTGGCCGTCCCAAGGAAGTCTTCCTCAACCCAGGGTCTTCCTCCAAATGTGAGAGGAGGCTCCCATTTTCATCACCCTCCTCAGCAGGTTGAATGACGGGAGTGGTCATCCAGCAAATCTGGTGCCAAGTTCTGTCTGCAACAAATATCTCCATATAAGAACGAGAGCATGTGTGGGAGGTGAATGGTGGGATGGCATCATGCCATGTCACCCTCATTATATGCCTTCCAGCCAACCCTGGCTTTATGGCAACCGACTCCTAGAGCATTCCCTTGCTTTCCTAAAGGGCTTCCTTGGCTGACTTGGGATTCGAACTCAGTTCTCCAGAATCTTGGTCCAACACTCAAGCTGTTTCTAAGTACTGGGAGCATGCCACCATCTAGTGGCAGGCAAAAGCAGTGCAATTGTTGCACTGTCGAAGGCTTTCATGGCTGGAATCGCTGGGCTGTTGTAGGTTTTTCGGGCTATATGGCCATTTCATTATTTATTTATTTATGGCATTTATATGCCGCCCGTCTCACCCTGAAGGGGACTCAGAGCGGCTTACAAGATACACACACACACACACACACACACACACACACACACACATATATATATACTAGGGCTGGGTAACCACGGAAAAATTTGTTTCTAAACTCTATTCGTTTCCAGGGGGCGCTAGCGTTTCCAAATTCTAAATACTTCCGAAATTTTGAGATTTCAAAATTTCGTTATTTACGAAATTTCGTTAATTTCGAATCGATTCGTTAATGGCGGACGCGATTGCGCAATATGCTAAAAAAAACCTCCAAATGGGACAGGGGGAACTTCTGAAGCTTCCCTCTCCCTCTGTTGTTGACTGTTGGTGTGATAAAACAAACAACAACTATAAAACTTGCACCAGACATGCGAAAATAGTTACGAAATAATTACGAAACAATTTTGAAATAATAACGAATAACGAAATAAATTGAAAAAATTGTTTCGAATCTAATTTACTCCTCACACTATTCCTGCATGGCTCAATATTGGATCGTAAGCTAATTTAAATACGAATTAATAACGAATTACGAAATTAACGAACGAAACCGCCCAGCCCTAATATATACACACACACATACAATATATATAATTAGCATAGCACAATATCAGCATTACATATCACTATATTGTACTATACCATTATATTGTAATATTATTAGTAATATCTAATATATAATAATAGATCACATAGTTTAAAAAGGTTATACTCGTGAAGGATTAGAAGGAAGTCACAAGAATTTATTTTATTTATTTTATTTTTTAAATTATTATTATAAAATGCATTTTTTCTTTTTCTCTGCTTCTCTTTATCTCTGTCTCTTTGTTTTTCCTACTTTTCTTTAAAATACTATGTTTCCCCACTTTACTTGGAAATCATATTTTTTTTCATATATATATATATATATATATATATATATATATATATATATATATATATATATATATATATATATATATATATATATATAGATATATATATATAGATATTGATATTGATATTGATATTGATATTGATATTGATATTGATATTATCAGCAAAACTAGACCTTAAGGAAGCTTTTAACCATCTCCCCACTGGGGACTTGGGGCGGCTTACATGGGGCCAAGTCCAGACAACAAATTACAGCAGAATAAAACTGAAAACGCAAACAATAAACATCATAATTACATAATTACATAACATATATGAATACATAACATAAAATTACAATAAACACAATCACAATGACAGTGGGTGGGCTACATGTAATTACTGATGTACCTGAGGGACCGCCTCACCCCCTCCAACCCCAGAGATCCCTCCGTTCTGAGGACCAAGATTTGTTGGAAATTCCCAGTGTCAAGACCTTGCGTCTAACAGCAACCAGACGCAGAGCCTTTACAGCAGTGGCACCATCACTCTGGAATACTCTGCCACCTGAAGTCCGTGCCTTGCGGGACTTATCAGCTTTCCGCAGGGCATGTAAGACATATCTGTTTCGACAGGCCTTTGATCTTTGATATTGCTGTTTTTAAATTGTTTTAAATTGTTTTTAAATTGTGTTAGATTTCAGCCTGTTCTTGCAAGCCACTCCGAGCCCCAGGGGAGTGGCGGCAAAGAAGTTTGAATAATAAATAAATAAATAAATAACTTTTTAAAAAATTTTTTTATAATAGTTTTTATTAAGATTTTAAAAATAACATCGAAAGAGGGAGAATATTAAAAAAGATGATAGGAAAGTAGGAAAAAAGTAAGAAATACATCCCCCTACCCCCAAGTCCACCAAAAAAAAAAAAAAATATAAAAGCCACAAAAAAAAGAAAAGAAAAAAAGAAGAAAAAAAAAAGTATAAAATAAAAATTGACTTCCATCTCTCCATCAGGTGTTGTGTCCTCAATGATATTTCCATTATATCCACTTCATAGTATTCCTCTTATTTATTTATTTCCTTTTCGTAATTTTCATATAGAGTCCAATCTGTCCTCTTTATCGGGTTCCCGGTATTCTTTTTCAAGAAAAAAGTTAATTCGTCCATTTCTCTTATTTCTCTTAATTTCCCTAACCACTCTTCAGTGGTAGGGATATCTTCCTGTTTCCAAAACTTCGCCAATAATATTCTCGCCGCTGTTGTAGCATAGGTAAATAGTCTATCTTCATTCTCATCTAATTGTAATTCCAAATCTGTAAATCCCAATAGATAATATTCTGGTTTCTTCTTAAAAACTCTCTTCAAAATTTTTTGTAGCTCTTCATGTACTTTCGTCCAATACTTCTCTATTTCTTTACACGTCCACCACATATGATAAAAAGTACCTGTTTGATGGCAACCCTTCCAACATTTATC